GCCCGGAAGACCCACACCAGCCATCGTATGCCGGCTGTGAAAGCCTTCGACAATACATTTCTATTAATATTCTATCAACAAATCTTTTTTGCAGAAAAGCTCTGATCAAAAGTTATATGCTTTGGTTCCTTTGTGTGTTGGTTAAAAGTGTGTGTGTTTTTTTTTTTAATTTATTATTAAACTTGTATGCCGCCCATCTCCCCCAACGGGTGATTCTAATGTTTTAACAAGTGTGTGTGATTTCTGGGCAAGATTTCCCAGGTAGAGAATACCCTATTCTTCTACACAAGTCAGGATCACACTGAGAAATTGCTTCCTCACACATATCTGAGCTAAATGTTTACAACCCATCACATTTCAGAATAGTTATTCTTTGAACATAGAGAAGAAGCTGACAATTATGTTTAGATACATGCCCAACACAAACAAGGTTTTATATCTCAGACTGTTGCACTTCAAATGATAACTGCAGTAATGTAGAGCATGTTTCTCAACCTTGGCAACTTGAAGATGTGTGGACTTCAACTAATTCCCATGGCGGGCTGGGAAATTCTGGGTGTTGGTCCACATGTCTTCAAGATGCCAAGGTTGAGAAACACTGATGTAGAGAAAGGATACCTAGAAGAATTTCCTTACAAAAATGCAAAATCTATTTGCAAGAGATACCTTAGTGCGGATTACATTCTTGTTGCTTTCAATTTCAGGCATAGTGTCAAAATCACTCTCCTCTTCCACTGAGCTATCTGTATCACTGCCACAAGGATGCCTACGATCTAGAGTTGATAATTCCTGACCTCCACTGGAGCTTGACTCATCTGAAAATGAAAGTTGTGGCACAAAAGTTGGTTGTTTTGTTTATTTTTATGGGGAGAATCATGTACATTGCAGTACAGGCACTTGCAGCATTGAAAGTCTTTCCCATAAGGCTTGAACAATGAATATGTTTTTTTTACTGCTAAAGACCAACTAAACAACAACAAATGCAAACAGGCAAGGAGCATTGTGTCTCTCCAATATCTTTAGTGCTCTGTCAGATCTTATCTTTATTCTTTTCACTCCTACCTTCATTTCTGCTTCCTACTTGGGTATGAATTTTGCCCAAGTCTCCATTTCCTGCTCTGTCCACTTGCCCAGAAACAATAATTTGTATGAGAACTTTCTCCATGTTCTTTTCCTCCATAAGATGTAATGCTTTTAACAATTAGTTTACTAGCTCAATTTACATTTTGGAGATAAATTTCAACTAATATTAATTTCAACTCCAGCAGGGCAGATCCCAAGAACCAGATGTAGCACATAATATCTTGCATTGCTCTGTCACCCAACAGAGAAACCAGGCAGGGATGAGTTTCCCTCCCTCTAACCTTGGTTTGGAACTTCCATGGCACTGAAGTATTCCTTCTCTGTAGGAAAAGAGAGGGAGAGGGAATGAGCAAAGGCTGAAGGGGTCTTTTCACCTAGTGAAAGGCATTTTTGTGCTTTTGGGAAGATACTGCCAACCTGGATCAATGATGACAGCCCAAAATGGGCAAGAGCTGTTGGGGAAAGGTGAAAGGACAGCTCTTGTCAGACAAAAGAGAGAAAAGGAAAGAAATCTGAATTACATTTAAGGGGAACAGAACTTCCCATAGGTTGGGTTCTTATTAACTGCAAATTAAATCCACTATTGCTTAGTAGGCAGGGCAGTATCTGAGGACTGGGTGACTCCTTCCTATGGAAAGAATTAATTCACCTGATGCCATCCTGAAGTGTGGAATGCCTCCTGGGAAATTCCAGAGAACCTTTTATGTAAGAGAAAAAATTATCTGTGAAAAGTGTAAGTATTTTCTGGCAAATCCTGGAACCCCCATGATGTAATAACTGAACAGCATTGACAATATTGCCTATCATTTTGAGGCAGGCAGAAAATGCATGAAATTGGTATGTTAACTCTTAAATAAATAAGTAAATAAATGTGTGTGTGTGTGTGTGTGTGTATTCCTAGAAGGGAAAAACCCAGAAAATCCTGACTCTGGCATATATGTACCACAGCTCTACCCATTTGACATGATTTTGAGACCAACAATTGTCATTCCAGCTGTGAAAAGGCTGCCCCCTTCCATATTAGGCAAAGTGTGTAAAAATATGTTTATGTGTATGTGAGGAAAAGAACACAGAAAATTTGTACAATGCAGGGGGAGAGGAGGCTGAATACATAAACAGATACAGAAATGGACTGAAAAAAAAATACAGCTGAAAAATGAGAAACAAAACTGAAAATGACAGATTCACCCACCAACTTCAAGCAACAGCTCATAGAGACAAATGCATGGCTCTTACCAGCTAAACAGATGAGACATACCAAACAACATCTCTGAGACTCCAGAATTACTATACCTATAGCTCCATAGCTGCTTCCTTCAGGGGTGCTGGCAGTGATAGGATGAGAGGAAGTCATAGTCTCACGCCCTGCAAGGTAAACAAATAAGAAATGGCTTTATACTTTCATCTGACTGTCCCAAGGGCCCCACAGATAAGGAAAACCAACTTTTTGGAATTGAGAGGAGATGTCTCCTTCCATCTGGCTTCAGGCATTACCAAGCAGTAGACTGTCCCCTCTGTTGCTATCAGATAATGACAACCCAACTTTCTGAAAATTGCAAATACAAAAAAGGAATCCTTGATGAGTACCAGAGTAGGAAGGTATAAGGCCAAATAGAGAGCAGAATCACTGGGCTGTATCAAGGATTTAGGGATGGACCATTCAAGATGAGCAGCCCTCTTAATTTGCACCTTTCCACCTACTTGGCATTACCAGCCAGCAGAAAACAAAGTTCCCACTTCGGGAAAAAGAACACATAAATCACTGAATGGACCTTTTTACAGCTCCACATTATAAAGAATTTATGAATTAAATGTTTATATGCTTCATAGCACAGTAAAAGATTCAAAGTAAGAAATAAATATATTTCCTAATAGTTACTGGTTAATAAATCATTACCTGTTGTCTATCAATTTACTTCTATTTAATAGCATGATAATATTTATATGATGGTTTCAGCATTAAAAGACTTCACATACGTTACTTAGTTGTAATTCTTACAATAGCCTTGTATATAATTTCAACTATTTGCCATCTTTAGCAGTGAGTAGTACTATAGCCAAAAAAATATACACACATGTGGAAGGCATCAGAAGAGTCAAGGGGTTCTGAGTAATGTTTTAATTTAATTTAAAAAATGATGTGGGAGGAACTATTGCTATTATAATGCCAAATAACTCTTGGAAAAAACACAAAAAAGTAGATACAATGATGACAAAATAAATATTCAAAAGACAAAGAGAGACAAAAATACGCTACAGCCTCTGGGTTTGTTAGGACAGCATAGAACAGTGTTTCTCAACCTTTGCAACTCTTAAGACATGTGAAGAAAAAGTTGGGGCCATTGAGATTACAAAAATATCTTGATAGCTGATGCTGCTTGTTCACTCTTTATTGGTGAAAAAGTGGCAATAAATACTTCCCTCAGGATGAGCATGGTTGGATTGGACAAGAAAATGGAAAAGGCCACCTTGAATAATGTCTGTAAGTTGGCTTACAATGCCAGAAGTGACAGAAGATGAAAACCAACAGAATCTAAGCCTAAACAGAATTGAAATTATGTTGATTTGTTGTCTGGAAAAAGATCTTAAGTTTTCATGGTATCCAGGGTAGCATCTGTAAATTGTAGCTGATGAATAAACATCAGATGGAATTTCTCCTGGTTGACATACAACCCAAGGAAATTAGGAAGTTCGCTGTAAGATTTTGATAAATCAGTATGATATCTCTGGAAGGAGGTTGGAAATGGTTTGGATCGGCGTGGGTCCTTGCCTAATGACTTGGTGGGGTTTGGTTAATGACAGCAACCGGGACTGGCAGGATTGCCATCGCTAAGTGATGCGGTCACGTGATGTCTCACTTTACAACCACATCACTTAGTGAAGGAAATTCTGGTCCCAATTACCATTGTAACCCAAGGTCTACCTGTCTGCCCTTGAGGTCAACTGTAACAAGAGTCTCTTTCATTCAGGAACAGTGGAATAATGGAGAGAAAGACTATGTGCAATAAACTTATTTACACCCCAAATATAGAAACCAGAATAGGGCCTGCAAAAAATCCCAAAAACAGAAACTTTGATGGAATTATTAGAGTTTTATGCTTTATTGTTTCCTTGCTATACAAAAGCTGAATCTTCCAAAGGAGAGGAAAGGAGTTATACCTGAAAGGACTATCCAGCTGCCCACAGATGGAAAGTACAAATTTACTGCCAGTCCAATTGGCTTTGCAAATGGAATGAAACTGGAAAACATAATCATATCCTCTGCATCAGGCTGCCAAATGCCTTGGGCTAGCCCTACAGACTCTTTAATCTAAAGCACCTCTACTGAAGCTTAGACATCCAATGAGGTCACATATTCATGTTGATGATTTAAGTTCTTCATCTCTAAAGTACATTTCTAAAAGAGGCCCAGAGGAAATATGCTGATTGTGCCTCATGAGATCTCATGAATTGCTATGCACTACTGGGAAATGTGAATCTTGTGAGACTTCAATATAAGCAGGAGTTTGGCATGTTCTTCTCCACGCAACAGGAGTTACATTTCTTCAAGAAGATCAGGAGATTATCTCCATGAGGAACCAAAATTGATGAGAGGGAGAGGGAGAGGGAGAGGGAGGCAGGCAGGCAACCAAACATGGAAAAAGGATCAATTTGACCAGAACTGCAGATTTTATTACAGAAGCTGCATGAAAGTTAGGAAATAACTGAATTTAAAGATGAACATTCTTATTGCAGACAGGAGCACCAATCCCCTTATTTGCGCTCTAGGAATTTCTGAAATTGGTTCCTTATAGGCATTGATCCACAGCAATGATTATACAGAGACCAATATTTTCCCCAACAAAAGTATTTTGATAATTAGGTCCAGTTGGAATAATTCATGACATGTCTTCCAACTGTATGATACCATCACAATATATTAGCATAATTACCATCATCAGGACCTTGTCTTCCAGTTGAGGTTTTCCTACGAAACCTGAAATCAAATACAAATATGACCATATAGATGTCATCAACGTCTCTTAATAGTAAGAGGCAACCATGCTTCTATATGTTATAAAAATTATACAGCTTATATAATAGTTATTTTAAAAACTGGCAAGGTCTATTTGAATTACATGAGCTATTGACCAATTTCATTGGTAAATACTGACACCAAGAAATCAACAGCTACTTTGGCACAAAGACTACAAAGGTTATTGATGTGATGGAATGTACAGTCAGGTCCAGAAATATTGGGACATCGACACAATTCTAACATCTTTGGCT